AAAGAGAACAGCCTACACAAAGACCTACCTACAAAAGAGAGAACACATCCAGTAGTTCAGCATGGCTATGGCTTAAAGGGCTAAGTAGGGCATGTCAAGAAATAAGACGGCCCAGTTTTTCAGTCTGCTTTTCGGAGTCATGCCTAGAAGCTTGGCCCAGAGTTTCTTTAGCTTTCTCAACAACGCTAGTGCAACTAAAAACCTTTGTGTTTTAGTTCACTACTTGCCATAAAAGCTCTGACCAATACAATCCCTCCTATGAAGATAATTAGCCTCCACATCATAACATTCAACAGCAATAAAAAATGTTTAGGTCTCTGCGCAATCTTATCTACACAATTATCGTTCCCCCCAGTATGTGCAAAAAGACAAGGAAAGCAGCTTTATAAAATGCATAGACAGCAAAAACTGGCAGACACTGCTAACAATGTTTTAAGTTCTACACTTAAGTTCAAATGTACCAATTACACAAATATAGGTAGAGATGAACCAGGGAAGAAAGGAAGAGAGGAAGTAATTACCAGAACACTAATCTCACATACCAGCACAAGCCAAAAATACACAATAAATCTCTCGGCCTTACCCTTCCTGAAACAGAGGACCCATCTGACAGAATTCAGTAGAACATATGGTTAAAAGTATGTGTTGCAGGGCAAACTGCACAGTTTTGAAACCTAACTCTACCATTTACTAGCTGTGTAACACTGGACTACTAACTTCGTTAAGCCTAAATTTCCTCCTTTGTGAAATATGATTATTACTAGTACCAATGTGATAGATTCAGTTTGATGTTTAAATGAGTTAACAGACATCAGCTATTATTAACATGCATTATGTACTAGCAAAGGTATATATTCTCTGTGCTCTCGGACACCCTTTCTCTCCTCAAGAAAGTATGTCAGAGTAACAAATATTACCTTGAATTACTTAATCTCCTCCATATGATTTAAGTAACTCATTCCTAAAACTTAATTTACTACTAACATACTGTACAACCACAATAATCGCCATACTTCAGTGTGTTATAACACTTAGGAATATCACTGATCTAGCCTGTGACAGAAATGAACAGTTACCTACTTCACTTCTTCATCTCACTTCTTGCTAACAAAACCCCAATTTTGTTTGGATTATCAGTTGGCCACACACTTTTAGGGAGACCAGGCCCATCTCTATTCCCTGAACCAGCAGCATCAGCATCACCCAGGAATTTGGGAGAAATGCAAATTCTCAGTCACCATTCCAAACTTACTAAATTGAAAACTCTGGGGGTGGGATCCAGTAATCTGTTTTAACAAGTTCTCCAAGTCATTATGGTACAGACAAGTTTGAGAAACACTGAGCTAATAATGCTAACTCCTTATCTCTTGCCAGCAACTGGTTTAGGAATAGGCATGTGACAATTCTGACCAAGGAGGAGCATTTGGGGAAATTTTGCTTATTCTTAAAACACAAAAAAAGAGACCTTTTCTCTTCTGGCCTTTAGATGATGTTGACTGGTGATCTGATGCTTAGAGCCGGTGCAGCCATCTTGTAACCTTGTGAGGGTAAGCCAAAAGAAAGCTCATCTGCCCTGCTGGGTCCTTGATCTGACCTGATCAAAGTGAGGAAATAACCAATAGTGGATTCACTGTATTCATGCCTGGGACACTTCCTGATACTTGATATAATATCACGTTTCATCAATATAAGACATTAATGGTAGGCTACATCACTGTTTTATGAATCATCAAAGGGGAAACTGCTGTCAACTAAATTGTTGAAAATGTTCACAATGTCTCCTTTTCAGATGTTCAAATATGAAGAAAATGTATATCTCTGAATGGAAAATAGTTAATTTCTATTGTTTAAGTCAATTGAGAAGGGGTTTTCTGTTGCCAGCTCTTAAAAATATAATTGATTTTTTAAAAAGATATTATATTAAATTCTGGGTCTTAAGATGCAGAATACACAAAAGATGGGCAAGAATAATGGTAGGAAACCTTGAAATATAAACTAAGAGAAAGTAAAATATTTAGACCGAGAAAAGAAAGCTTAGAAGAGAGCGCCATAACTGTCCTCAATAATCTGAAGAGCTGAAATACAGAAAAATAATCAGACTTTGTACAGCTCCACACCAAGCTCAGAAAGGTAGATTTTAATCTAAAGAATGAAATCTATCAATGGAAAGAGCTGTCTTAAAAAAATTGCTCATGCATTCCAGCAGAAACAGAACAATCACTTTGAAAACTAAGGGTATGACTCTTGTATGGCTGGGAAGGTAGATCAGACTACCTCTAAGGATTCTTTCAACTTTAAGATTCTAATATTATGGCCAGATTAGAGTATAGAAAAGATATGAAGACTCATTAAAACATACAATCATACAATGAAAAATTGCCAACAGGACCTGATCTAGGCCGAGTACCTAGGAGAAATTAAACTCAAGAAATCAAGGACATGGACTGGAATTCACAACCCTCACAGGGTTATATGATGGCTGTAGCGGCTCTAACCATCAAATCAATAATTAACAACATCTAAAGACTAGGAGAGGGAAGGTCACTTCTTTGTGTTCAATTTTAAGAATAAACAGACTTTCAAATATCTATCTACTTCCAATCTAAACTCCTCTGGCTGGGATTTAAAGTTATCTCTCCACCACTACTACCTATCTTCACACATCTTCTACCTCTAAAAAATCTACACAGTGTCCATATCCCAAAGCTATCCATAACTCTCCTCTCCCACTACAGCCTCCAGCTGAATTCCTGTCTAGTGTGTCTTTTCTCGGATTGTTCCTACAAAATTTTTGTCCCCTCAAAATTTACAACTCCCACAAAGTGCAATCAAAACACCCAGTCCTGTGGTTAGGATGGATCCAATTATACGTGACGTAAACATATTCAGGGGCCCCTAAAGTTCTTTACAATGTTAGAAGCATTTTTCAGCCCTTAATAAATCTTAATTCGTCAATCACTTTAGAAGCTACCACAAAGCTGTCTCAGTTGGAGTTTAATATTTAATATATTTATATAATGGTAAAATATTTATTCAACTATATCATCAAGTGCCTGCAACTCAAAATTCTGGTTGGCTTAACTACTAAAGAAGGAAAGTAATGAATAAAAGTTTAGCCTGCCTTTGTAAAAGGAACTGTACTTAGTTATCTGGTCATAACAAATACATGGAGCTGAGTTAAATGAAAAAGAAAACAGGAGGGAAGGTCTGCAGAAGGCTCAATCTCATCTTATCCTACTTCACAGAATGTCATATCTGCAAAGTAATCTGACTCCATCATATTTTATATATAAAAACAGTGACCCAGAAAAATTAAGTGATATACCCAAGATAAAAAAGCTCCTTTTTTTATTTTCTGAGACAGGAACCAACCTAATTATAAAAAGAAGCTAAAAGAGAAAGCCTCCAGAACGTTTTAAAAGAATAAACAGAGAATGGAATCCAAGAGTTAAGGGTACAAAAAGCTGAGAGTAAGGAGGGAGAAACAGATAGTACACATGGGCTGCATTAAATTATGTAGAAATATATATGCATACTATACAGCAAACCCAGAGAAAGTCTCCCTTTCCTTCTCTTAGTCTACAAGAGCTAGACTCAGACATCCTGAACTCACTGAAGCTTTATGGCCTTAATTTTCCAAATGGTGAGTTAAGATTCACTAAGGTTACAACTTAGAGTGATCCTAATCAATCGTGGAAGGGGAAAAAGTTCCTAATTTTTAATTATAATCAGGTATTAGGTGGTTTTATTTCAAATTTCACTTAAAGGCAGCTAATATGGAAATTGGAAATGGTTTCATACTGACATTCTGACAGTGAAAAATTATAGAACATACTTTCTTCTCCATAAATTACAAGAGAAACCACTTTGTTTTCACTTGTATAAAAGTGTAACTTTTGAATTTCTAAAAAAATTAAGACATTATGATAAAAGGCATATTGGTTAACCCAGTGAGGCTTTTGATTCCAAGAATTTTAAGATGGTCTGGCTGGCTGGCACTTCAGAGCCAAGAAAAGAACTTTGTATGCATTAATTGCGATGTCACATCCAATGGCAGAGTCCTATCAGAACTACATCATATAAGTGTTTAAGACCTAAGAGACATTTTTATGCATTCATCACCTATCTTATTCTCAGTCCAACTAATCTTTTGGACATGGGCCTCCAAAAATATCACTTTAGGAAAAATAAAACAGCTCTTCTTAAAGAGAAATGGTTTGTTTTATCCAATTTGTTTACCTTATATATGAATACAGGGAAACTAGAACCCTTTACATATAATACCATACCAAAAACAAGTGATCACAACCTAAAATTACTTTCTAATAAAATGAGGATCATTTAAGATGATCAAAAATCAACAAATTTAATAATAAAGAAATCATTAGAAAACATTAAACCCTACTCTGAGAGTCAGTCCTAATAATTACCACTCTTTCAAACGTGAGAATACTATTTTGTGTAAAGCATAAGCATTTCATAGCATTTATTACCCAAGATAATGTATTACCAAATTTATTTCCATATGCACTTAATTCTAAGAAATAATTACAGTTGCAGGAAAAAATGTGACTAGTACATCAGGACTTTGTCTCTTTTGTTGCCACTGTCATTTTCCAGGTTCTGATCTAGTATACAAAGCTCAAAAAAATCCATCCAAATCTGCATGTACCATCTTTCCTTGATCACATAATTAACTATTTCCTACGTCTGCTGGAGACAGACATTTAAGAGAAAATTAAGTCCCATAATAAAAATCTAAGAGCAAATATTTTTTAAATGAATAGCAAGTAACAAAATACACATTGAATTTGGTAGAGGCACTAATTCAAGTGGGATGGAATACATATTCATTTTGTTGTTTGCATGATCTGTTATTCGTTTTTTCAGTTTCTGACAACAACCCTTACATAGCCTTTGTTTTGTGCTAGGCACTGTCTGAGCACTTCAGATTTATAAACATATTTATTCTACCTATGTGGTAGATATACTATTGTTACCTCATTTGACAGCTGAGGAACTGAGGCAGGGACTTCATTGATGTGTCCATGATATCCACCGTCACGGAGCTAAATGAAGGGTTTAAATTTTATTTCATCCTAAATCTCTGCTGTTCCTGGCCCAGCTTTCACTGAAAAATGCATGCAAAACAAAAGGATAAACAGACATCAAAAAGACAACCATTCCTCAACCCAGCTATCTTGGCAAGTTACATACTGATGCTTCTGAATGGTAATATGAAAATAAGATTTTGGAAGAGTCATTCTCATTTTAGTTTCACCCTTAAAATTTCCCGTCTATAATGGGGAAGAATGAACAAGACCAGGCCAGTACTACTTCCTACCTGCTTCCCTACTGAGTCGGCCTATTCACAGCCAGAAAGCCAATCATTCCTCAGGCCTTTGCTTCAATTCAGGTACAGTAGTAGTAAGGTTTGAAAGTGCCTCAAGCAGAGCCAACAGTTCTCTGATCCTTTACAATATCAAACTCTGCAATTGTGTGTCATAGCAGCCATGCTAGAATGAGGTCAATTACTCTAGGCACTCGCTAGGCTTTTCCCTTTTCTCCACCCCTGGTGTTCAGGCTCTTTTCCTAGCACTTAACTCAGAGCTATCGTTAGCCTTTTCCCCTTGGCTGTACTGCCCCTACATTTATGTTATTCTAAGTCTTCTCCCCTATGGATTCCTGTGGGGAAAAATGAAAAGGCCGAAAGTAAAAAAGAAAAAAAATGAAATAAAATGAAATGAAAATTCAGGAGGCTCTTGTTTTAAGTCGCTGTTTTAACAGGTTCCTTTCAAAAGAACCAAGCATTAAAATATTAGGAATGTAGCCTAAATATAATACATACACATAAAGACATACACATAAACAGTGCCAGAATAGTGTGTGTCTTTCATTCTTAAGATCTTCCTTTTCTATCCACTAATTTCTAACTGCACTGTTCTTCTGTAATCACATAATCAACTGCTTCTCAAAATCCATTTGTCAGATATGAAATATTAGGGGAAAAATTAGCCTTGGGTACCCGAGACTTGGCTCCTAGAACACCATCATCTCTTGCTTACTTACATAAGAAACAAGGTCACTGACATTTTATTTACTAATCTGTAAAACAAAGGTAGCCCCACCTCCTGTTACTTCCCCAATGAGGGGGAGGAGCTCAAAAAGATATTGTGTGTGTAAGTATACCAAAGAACTAGAAGTACTGACAGAGTTAAGATATACCTTCAATTCAAGAAAATCCCCAGAAGCAAACATGTCAATACTAAGTAAGCCAATCTTTCCCTTGGCAATAACTATTTTAACCAGAAGTGCAGATCGACTAACTCTTATGCTTTTATAAAGAATTTTAACCCAATTATGTTTTGAGTTGATGCCTGGACAAACAAAATGAGGGGCAATGAAGAACAGCTGGGAAGACAGCATGCAGTCTAGGGTCACAGCAGCCTTAGGTTCACATAATACAAACCGTAACTTATTACTGTTTGTTTTCTATTTTTTCCCTAAGTCTTCAGAATAAATGCAACACATTGACTCCTAAATCGAATTCCTGAAAAAGAAACAATGACTCCCAACAAAGTATAAAAATGACTCAAAAAACAGAAGCCCAAGAACACCAAAAAGATACTATACATTCTCGATTCCAAACATCTCGAATCCTTATCCAAACGGTAATTTCTAGTTCAGGTATAATGCTAGAAGCTGTCTTCCTCTGAACTCTCTGCTATGCTATCTCCTGTTACATAAAAGGGCAGTAAAGTCTTAAAAACCCACATGCAGTGGTCACTGTCCAATGTTCTGCCAAATGATACCAACTTGTGATGCCAGTGAACTGATTATAAATGCATACTATCCACCAATAGATAAAAGACCATTTTATCTGTACTTCAGTTTTGCCAGTAAATGCATAACTATGAAATTGTAAAAAATCAAATCCTATCTACCACTGCCTCGGGTTATTCAGAAGTACATCTGCCCAGGGGGAAAAAAAAATCCAAAAACGTGGCCTTAAAATATAAAGATCACAAGGCACCAAACTCTTTTTAAATCTTACTTTTAGTAGTATCATTTACTTAATCTACTATTTAATAGAAAAAAATATTAACACTACTACTCGATGAACAACAGTACTGAAAATAGCATAACAGGAACTGTGGTGACTTCAAGGGAGACATAGAAAGAGGGTCTGATAAACAATGAGGCATCTTTTATCTGCAGAATTTATAGAGGTGGTAGAATGACTTCTGTGGGTGTTAACACAGACTACCACAAGAGAATAAAGTCTGACAGGGTAATGTCAGAATAGTGAAGCAGGCAGCTCCAAGCTACCATCCACTACCTCATTATATCGTAACATCAAAAAAGAAGCATCAACTGTCAGAATCAAGTTTGTCAGAACTCTGGAAAACAAAGAGTTACAATAACCAACTGAATACTGAATCAAGGGAACATTAACTCAAAATAGCAGGAAAGTTCTGTGGCATTTTTACTTGTCTTTGCCCTATCCCATCCCTGGTGCAGCAGCAGACTATGTTCTCAGAATGAGACCCTGCTCCTTGGTTCCAGAAAAAAGAGTCAACCTTATTTGTCTGGGAGCCACCTAAGGACTTACACAAGGTACAGCCTCTGTTTTGCCTAACTCAAACTCATCCAAGCTGAAGAAGTAAATGGCACTGCTTGAAAACATTTTAAGGTGGAGGAACAATCTGTAGACACCTGAGGTAAAAGATTACAGTTGAGACATATAATAGACCACTTGAGATCTAGAAGGAAATGTCAGGAAGAGGTTTTCTTTGGAAAATTAGGGCAATCAAAGGTACCCATGTATATGGGGGAACTTAGAAAGCTACATAGCCCCAAATATAGGAAGTAAGCACTGATGGAATAGAAGGAAGAAAGAGAAAGTCTACAGTAATCGATGGAAACTTCAATAGACCACATTCGATAATGGATACAACTTGACAATAAATATATAAAGCATGTGAATAACATGTAAATCCACTAGACCTAACAGATTTAGAACACTCTACCCAACGACAGAATACATATTCTTTAAAAGTGCACATAAAGAGACCATATGTTCGGTCAAGAAACAAATCTCAATAAATTTAAAGACTGATTTCAAGCTAAGTATGTTCTGTAACCACAATGCAGCAATGCAATGAAGTTAGAAATCAACAACAGGAAAAAAACCTGGAAAATCCACAAATATGTGGAAATTAGACTACACTCAAACCACCAATGAGTCAAAAAGAAAAATCACAAGGAATATTAGAAAATATCTTGAGACAAATGAAAAAATATGTGTGTGTGTGTGTGTGAGACAACTTATGGGAAGCAGCAAAAGCAGTGTTAAGATAAATTTATAGCTATAAAAGCCTAGATTTAAAAAGATCTCAAATCAATGACCTAACTTTAGACCATGAGGAACTAAAAAAAGGAAAGAAAAATAAACTAAAAGCAGAAAGAAGAAAACAATGAAGGTCAGCAGAGAGGAAATAAATGAAATAGAACAGAAAAATAATAGAGAAAGGCAATGAAAACTAAAGTTGCTTCTTAAAAAAGAGCGAGAAAATTAACTAACCTCCAGCTGTACCTACAAAGAAAGAGAGAAGACAAATAACTAAAGTCAGATATGAAAGTAGGGACGTTTCTACCACTCTTGTAGAAATAAAAAAATATATAATTCTATAAAAACTTTGCATTAACAAATTAGTTAACCTAGATGAAGTGAAGGAATTCCTAAAAACACATAAATTGCATAAACTGACTCAAGGAGAAACAAAATCTCAACAAACCTATAAGAAACAGAAAATCTCAACAAATCTATAACAAACAAAATCTCAACAAACCTATTAGCCATGAAAAATCTTCCAAGAAAGAAAAGTCCAGCACCAGGTGGCTTCACTGGTGAATTCCATCAAACTTTTATTAAAGAATTAATGCCAATTATTTTCAAACTTTCCCAAAGAATAGAAGACTAGGGAACACTTCCCAATTTTTTCTATAAGACTGCAAGGTCCTGATACCAAAAGCCAGATAAAAACATCATAAAAAAAGAAAATTACAAACCTATATCCCTTATGAATATATACCTAAAACCATCAATAAAGTACTAACAAGCCAAATCCCAACAATGTATTTAAAAAATAGTACACCCATCATCTAGTAGTATTTATTCCTAGAATGCAAGCATGGTTGAACAAATGAAAATGAGTCAATGTAACACAACACGCATATTAACAGAATGAAGGGAAAAAACACATGATCATTTCAATTGATGCAGAAAGGGCATTTGACAAAACCCAATACTCTTTCATGATTTAAAAAACTCAAAAACTAGGAACTGAAGGGAATTTTCTTCACATGATACAGGGCATTTATGTAAAGCTCATCTGTAACATCACAATAATGGTAAAACTGAAAGCTTTCACCATAAAATCAGGAATAAGACAAGGATGCCCACTTTTACCAGCACTATCAATAATGTGTTGAAAGTTCTAACCAGAACAATCAAGACAAGACAAAAAAATAGAAGGCATCCCATATAGAAGAAAATTTGTAAAACTATCTCTCTATTGCAGATGACATGACCTTATATAAACAAAATCCCAAAGAACCCACAAGAACATTACTAGTGCTAATAAACAAATTCAACAAAGGTGCAGGAAACAAAACACAAAAATCAGTTGTGTTTCACTATACCAATAATGAACAATCTGAAATGAGAATGAAGAAAACAATTCTATTTACAATAGCATCTAAAATACCTAGGAATAAATTTAACCAAAAAGTTGGAAAACATGCACACTGAAAACAACATTGCTGAAAGTCAAGTTTAAGACTTATGAGCTGAATGTCTGTGTCCCCCCCAAATACAAATGGCTAACAAACACATGAAAAGACGCTCAACATCATGTTTTTAGGGAAATGCAAATCAAAACCACAATGAGAAACCTTCATTCCTACCATGATGACTAAAATGGAAACCAACAAATGTTGGTGAGCACATGAAGAAATCAGAATGCTTGTACAATGCTGTTGGGAATGTGAAATGGTACAGCTGCTGAGAAAAACAGTTTGGCAATTATTTAAAAATTTAAACACAGAATTATCATATGATCCAGCA